GGGCTGGCTCCTCTGTCTCTGGCTTCCTTCCTGGCACCCTGGGCTTGGCTGTGCTTGTTTAAGCCCTAGGTTCTGGAAGGTGCCATGGGCCATGCCTTTCAGACCGTGGGCGAGGGTCCTCGCAGGGCTCCCACAGGTGCAAGGGGCCTCGGCAGCCTCAGGCTGGAGGGGATGTGGAGTTGGGACCCCCAGGAGGGACTGCCTGGAGCCCAGGGCTCAGCTGGGTGGAGCCACACAGTCCTGCGGACCCAGTGCCCTGGTGACCTGCTGTCCCTGCCCCTGGCTGCTGCTACTCCTGTCCGTCGGCCTTAGGCCCAGTATGTCCTGACTAGTCCTCAAGGGCGCGGGGCGGGCAGTCAGTGCTGAGCCCCTCCCAGGCCACACCAGACTGGCCTGGGGTGGCTTTCTCCATTTTTGAGGGGTGGTGGCCAGCGCTGACATGCGCCCTGGGACTGCCCTGTGTGCGTGCGCGTGGGAACTTGCCCACTGCACCCGGCTGTTAAGGGCCTTGGTAGGGCCTGGGTTGGGGCGGGGGCGCCCCACTGGTCCCCTGAGGGCCCTGCACCAGGAGGCACCTGTGCCGGCTCTGAGAACTTCCCCTGGGGCCTGCGGGCCCCACTTCCTCCCGCAGCAGTGGCTCAGAGAGAGGCTGGACCCTGCAGGAGGAGGGGTGCTTCTTACCGCCAGCTCCCTTCCCTGACCCTGCCCAGGGCCCTCCTGTCCCAGGCACTTGGGCTCCACTTTAGGCTGAGGACGTGGTGAGAGGAAACTCTGATAGGAGGTGACACAGAGTGGCACCACACTGATAAGGCCGCCTGGGCTGCCGGCCCTGGCCAGCCCCTCCTTCTGCTGCCTGGGCCTCCTGTGCCTGCTCTGAGATGTGGTGGCGTCACGTGGCCAGGGGCGCCTCTTTGTTGCAGATTGAGACACGCATGGTGAGGGTGTGATGAGTGGTGTAAGTGACGTGGATTCTCTGCCTCCCTCCCCCTTCCCTCCCCCCCTGCAAGTGATCCTGGGTGGATCCCAAACCCAGCCTCTGCGGTCAGCTCTTGCTCATCCTGCAACGCCCAGCCCCCTTGTCCCCTCCCAGACACCCAGAGTCCCTCTGCCTCCCTCAGTGGTCAGTCTGTTGGCTCTGCACGGGGTCCCTGACACATCACACACTGGAGGATGTGCTGAGTGGGCCCTCAGCAAGTAGAGGGGGGAGCATGAGCGTGAGTGGTCCCTGGGGCTGCACCAGAGGGGCGGTGGTGCTGGAGAGAGCCGGGACAGGGACAGGTCCGGGAGCAGCCTTGGCCCCCAGCGGCCAGGGTGTGGCCAGTATGCTAACTCTGCAGGGTGGGAATAGTGAGGGAGGCGGTGGGGAATTTGGTCCCTGTGCTTGCCCAGCTTGTCTGTCCTTCCAGTGGCCATGTCTTCGGCCACTCCTTGAGGACTCAGGCCCTGGGGCCGCCTGCCCTGACTCCCTGCTATGTGTGTATGGGGATGGCGAGGGGTAAGTGAGAGCATGAGGCCAGCCCCCACCTGGGGGCCACTTCCAGTACCCTGGGTGACTGTCCCTAGCCCCACTGCAGAGGCAGGGGATGCTGAGCTTTGGCAGGCTGAGCAGGTGGCCCAAGACTACACTAAGCAGGAGGCCCCACCCCCTGTGCGTGTCCCCTCCACTGTCATGGGAGGAGACTGAGGCTGTTTTTTGTTCACTGCCTTCGAAGCCTGTGGCTCAGATGAGCCAGTGGCTATTGAGAGTATGTGACTGACCCTTGTGGGAGGGAGCTGGGGACACTGTCCCTAACCTCAAGCTGATCATGTGGGTGGGGCTGGGCATCCAGGCCAGTGAAGCCCTACGTGGTGCGGTGTTTTGGGGGAGGGAGAGAGCAGGGAGTTTCAGAGAGGAGCTGTCTCTAGGGTGAGGTTTTGAAGGATGCGTAGGAGTCTTCTGTGAGCAAGGATGTTCTGGGACACCGTTTGTGTGGACCTGGTGCGAGGGTTGACAGTGTCCAGCCCCACCCCCAGCTGGGTGAAGGCTGGTGGGCGGGCCCTGTCAGGGAACTGCTGGCACTCAAACGTTGCTGTGTGGTTTGCAGAAATCCTTTCCATTTTGCTGATGAGGCACTTGCGGCTCAGAGAGCAGGTGTCCCTCTGCTCAGGTCACCTCGCCGCCACTGCATCCTCACCTGGGGGTCCTCTTTCTCAAGGCCTGATGGTCTTCCCTGGGGAACCGGCTGTGTGGGGAGAGCCCACAGCGGTGTCTGGGGTCTGGGCTGAGTATGCCTCCATGTCCTCACCCACCTCAGAGTGGGGAGGCGGACCTCTCCCCGTCCTGGGGTCTTAAGGCTGGCCAGATGCTGTTCTCTGGGACTGCTGGCTCTGTCTGGTGGTCCCTGCCACCCCCACCTTTTAAAGATCTATTTTATTTATTTATTTATTTTTATTTTTTATTTATTTATTTTTGACAGGCAGAGTGGACAATGAGAGAGAGACAGAGAAAAAGGTCTTCCTTTACCGTTGGTTCACCCTCCAGTGGCTGCCGCGGCCAGTGCGCTGTGGCCAGCGCACTGCGCTGATCCGAAGCCAGGAGTAAGGTGCTTCTCCTGGTCTCCCATGGGGTGCAGGGCCCAAGCGCTTGGGCCATCCTCCACTGCACTCCCGGGCCACAGCAGAGAGCTGGGCTGGAAGAGGGGCAACCGAGACAGAATCCGGCGCCCCGACCGGGGCTAGAACCTGGGGTGCCGGCGCCACAGGCGGAGGATTAACCTATTGAGCCGCAGCACTGGCCCAAGATCTATTTTATTTTTATTTGAAAGGCAGAGTTAATGAGAAAGAGGGAGAGATAGAGGGAGATAGACAGAGAGAGGTCTTCCATCCTCTGGTTCACTTCCCAAGCAGCTGCTACAGTCAGAGCTGAGCTGATCCAAATCCAGGAGCCAGGAGCTTCTTCCAGGTCTCCCATACAGGTACAGGGGCCCAAGCACCTGGGCCACCTTCTACTGCTTTCCCAGGCCATAAGCAAGGAGCTGGATCAGAAGAGGGGCAGCCAGGACATGAACTGGCGTTCATAGGGGATGCTGGCGTCGTAGATGGTGGGTTTACCTGCTACACCACAGTGCCGGCCCCTTCCTGCTGACATTTTTGGAACCTCCCCCAACCCACCCCTTCCCGGAGGACCTGGCTGTTAAGGGATTGGGAGATATGGATCATGTCACATGATGATTTTCTTGCTCGAAGAGGTTTTGTTTTGATGTCCTGCTCTTCCTCCAGCATCACCTGAGCCTCCCCCCCCACCCCGCACTTGTCCCCTTCCTACCTGCCATTGTCACCTTCCCTCCTGTCCTCTGTGACCTCTGGTGGCTGTGAGCCACTTGGAATTCCCTAGTCTCCTTGTCTTTGCTGTGAGCTCTCCCCTCTGGCTGGGAGCCACCCCCTGCAGGCAGTCATCACACCTGCTGCCACAGCTGCGTGTGCTTCCCATTGTCTGGAGCCCAGACTCATGTCCCATGCATCTCTGCCACCCCAGCAGTGGTGCCCACGGCCGGCTGGCACAGAGCTGGTGCTTGGCGAGGGGTGTCCTAGAGCGTCTGGCCTTGTGTGGCTACTGGGCCGGGAGGTGAAGGTGCATCCAGCAGCACAGGGCCTGCAAGTGCCAGTGGCGGTGGGCAGGATCTCAGCTCTGCCTTGGGACTGGGCCTCCTTGTGTGGTCCAAGCTGGTGCTCCAGGCCCTGCGGCAGGGCTGCAGGTGACTTCCTGGCCGTGTTTACGCAGCCACTGGTCGGGCCCCCTTTGCTCTCCCACCTAGCTGTCCTCTCTGGTTGGGTTTTGGCCTCTGCCTCAGCCATCTCCTGGCGCTGGCTGGGGGTGGGTGTGTCCTGCCTCCATCTTGGTCTCTGCCTCCCTCACCCCCACCCACCCCGCCACTCTGCCTCAGCCTCCCCTCTGCTGCCCTCCTCGCACTCCTCCCTCCCGCTTCCGCCTCCATCTGGCCTGTCTGCGCCTGGTGGATGGAAGCTGGGCAGGACCTGCATTCCCTGGGCCTCCATGGGCAGCCCCTCCCTCTCTGTCCTTACTCGCCCATCCCCCACCTCCTCTTCCATCAGCTCTGACTCAGCACAGGGGCATCCCTTGGTGAGATTTCCAGCGGGGAGCAGAGTGAGCCAGCCTGCCTGCTCGTAGAGGGAAGGGACGGGGCCCCAGCAGGCCATGCTATGGAGGGTCATAAGAATCCAACCAGATGGGAGCTGGCTCCAGCCACCCTCCCACCGCCCCCTTTACAGGGCCCCCTCTGCTGGCCCCCCGCCTGCCCTGCTCCTGCTCCCCCCCATGGGACCCCTGGGCCTGAGCCCAGGAACTGGAATCATGTGTGTGTGGGAGGGGGTAGGGGTTGCGTGGGGCCTCTTCCCCGCTCAGCTCACTTTTTAGCCTCCAACGTGGGGTGGAACACCCAAGGGTGCAGTGAGGTCAGTGGGGAGGGGCCCTACCCCTCCAACGCCTCCCTCTTGCTGGCTGGGACACTGCACTGAGCTGGTCCCACTCTTGTCCCCTGGTGGAACCCTGGACAGAGAGGGGCGGGGGGGAGGTCCAGTTCTGCAGTCATGGTCTGTTTTTCGTGTGGCTGGAACAGAACCCTGCAGGTGGGGAGATGCGGCAGCAGCAGGGTGTTTTCGGTGCATGGTTCTGTTGTGGCAGAACATGGCAGGGAGCCATCTCGCGGTGGGAGAAAGCCAGAGACAGCCATGCTCAGTTTTGTGAGAAAACCACTCTTGCGCTGACTGCCCGCCGAGTCCTCCCAGCCCACTCACCTCCTTCCAGGTCCTACTGCCCTACGCCTTCCCTCTGGGGCTGAAGTTTCCAGCACCTACCCTGGGGATCCCGGCTGCCAGGAGCCCTCTCGGTGCCCCTGGCTGGGTGTATCAGACCTTGGTCTGTGGTCCTGGCCACCCAGCACCCTTTGTCTGGCCACTTGGTGTGTCCAGGTAACGCTCCTCCCCTCTCCTCTGCCCGGCAGGTCCTCCAGAAGCTGGGGAAAGCGGATGAGACCAAGGACGAGCAGTTTGAACAGTGCGTGCAGAACTTCAACAAGCAGCTGGTGAGTAAGGGACGACTCGTGGCTGCAGGGTGTTGTGCAAAGGGAACAGTGGCTGCCAGGTGGGACATGGCAAGAGGTGAACTTGTGGAGTAGAAGAGCTCCGGGCAGGGGGATCAGTGAGGGCTGGCGAGGCCACGGAGGACTTCCTGGAGGAGGGAGTGCTTGGGTGGGGACACTGAGGTCCTGGGAAAGGCATAGAAAGGGTGGTGATGGGAGAGTGAGGGTGTTGAGGGGAGGGTGAGGGTGTTGGGGGCAGCATGCAGTGGATCGTGTCCAGACTCTGGAAAACCACGCCTGTCAGGGCAAGTGGGAGCGACAGAAGTGTGGGTGTGCTTTGCCAGGAGAGCGGTATCTGCAGGGTTGAGTGTGGGGCTGAGCAGGCTGGGTTTCTGCTGAGCATGGCAGGAGTCTGGCTCTGTGGGGGCTCCCCTTGTGCAAGAGGCAGTGGAGGCTCAGAGAAGTGGAGTGGTGTGCCCAGAGCCGTGCAGCTTTGGGAGGGGCTGCAGACCCGCAGCCTGGAAGGGACTTCCGGATTAGACACAGGGCTTAGACACATCAGTGTCTGTGAGTGGGGCAGGGTCCTGGCTCTGCCAGGAGAGGGGCAGGCTGGGTCTTGGTGAGACTGGAAGACCCTGGCCTTTCTCTCCAGCCCTCAGAGACCACCGAGGGAACCTCTGCAGCTGCTGTGGAACTGGAGTCGGGGGCTTCCTTTTGCAGAGCCATTGGCCAGGGCCTGGAAGTACCAGGGGGCATGGGGGAGAGGGCCAGGATGCATTCTGGGAAACAGCCCAGGAATATTCTAGGATAGAGCCAGGATGCATTCTGGGAGATAGCCCAGGAACATTCTGGCAAAGGGTCTGGGAGCATTCTGGGAGAGAGCCAAATGCATTCTGGGACAGGGTTAGGGAGCATTCTGGGAGAGAGGACAATGGAAACAGCTGCAAGAGGACCATGGAGCATTGCATTGTGGGAGGGGCCAGGGTGCATTCTGGGAGAGGGTTGCTTGAGCACAGACAGCAGCCCACCCTCTGGGGGACCCTTGCTAGCTAGAGGTCAAGTGCACCCAGGCCTGCCAGAGGGACCCAGCCTGAGAGTGTCCCTGAGCAGGAAGGGGAGCTGCCATGTGGCTTATCCCGGGGCCTCTGCCTCTGTCTCCTGGGAGCCCCAGACTGTCTGCCCTGATACCAGCTGGCTTTCCAGGGTTGTGGGTTGCTCCAAGGACTGTTAGGGATACTTGCTGTGGGCCGGGTGCCTGTCGGCGAATTACAGACTCACCCTTGCCATCTGTGGAATAGGTGCTGGGATTCTTGTCATTTGTGCAGGTAAGGCATTTGAGGCTCAGAGGGGAGAGAGGTGAGGGTGGAGGTGAGGGTGGTGGGGTCCCCTGGGGGGCCAGTGGGGCTGTTTGGCAAAAGGGGGGGAGGGGAGCACAGGTCCAGGAGCTGAGCTTTCCCATGGCCATGGCCTGGCTGCGGCTGTCCCCACTTGTCCCTCAGGGTCACCTTGTCTGGTCACAAGGCAATCCCTCTCAGCTCTGTGGGCCCAGGGGTCAGGGCTGGGGCCCTAGACCAGTTGCTCTGAGCTGGAACCGTTGGCTCTGAGGCTCCAGTTGCACGGCTAGCTTTCCTTGGAGGGTTATCAATCTCGTTCAAGGCTGGGGTAACCCTTCCCTGGAGGCTGAGGCAGTTGGTCCATTGTAGATTTGATTGGCAGCCGGAGTGGCAGGAGGGAGCCTGCCTGCATGGGGACTGAGGGTGTGTGTGGAAAGAAGAGGGGGTGAGGCTAGAGAGAGCTGTGGGGGGCCTGGCCTCAGCAGGGCCCAGGGCACTCTGGGAAAGGCAAGGCAGAGATGGGCATAAGCAGCCTGGAGGCGGAGCTTCCTCTTGGGTCTCTTCCTGTGCTGGGCAGGGGTGAGGAGCCCAGGGAATACATCTCTTAGGTCTTCCTGTGGGGGCGGGCCCTGAGTTCCCCTTGCTGCACCTGCTGTCACCTGGGCCCCCTTGTTGCTGGTCACAGGTAGCACCCCTCTCTTCTGCCTCCGTGCTGGGAGACCTGGGAAGGGGGGTGTACTTGCTCCTTTTGCCCTCACCATCCTGTAAAACCCAGGTCCTCCAGGAAGCTGCCCTGTGTTCTTCCAGGTCAGCCAAGCTCTTCCCTCCTTCTAGGGAATCTCTAGCTTGCAAGACTGGCTGGCTTGCAAGCCACTGGGGTGGGGGCGGGTCTGAGTCCTTGTCCCCAGGGCCCTCCCAGGCCTCCCTGGCTAGGGAGAGAAGATCCATCCTCCCTGGACATTGGACATCGATGTCCACTAGGGATCCCTGCAGGAGGGCCATCCCTGCCAGTGAGAGCTGATGTGGAGGCAGGGAGAGCAGGTGTGGGGACGCTGGCAGTTCCTCCCCAAGCTGGGCTGGCAGGGAGCCTGATTAGAAGCATAGGAATTGTTTCTCACCCTGTTTAGGGGGCCAAGGGAGCCGGTTTCCAAGTGCACACACCCTGCTCCGCGCTGGCTGCCCCAGGCCGGGGAGGGATGTGTCTGCCCTGGGGACTGCGGCGTGGGGACCCAGCTGCAGTGGGTACAGGAAAGGCAAGGCTGTGGGCTGCCCCTTGCACATCTGCATGCCACGTGGCCTCTCACAGCCCCGTGTTGTTTGGGCAGCACAAGGGGCCCTGGTACGGCCTGCAGCCCTGGGGCAGCCCAGCAGCCCAGCCCATGGGGACATAGAGCAGGCTCGGGGGGGGGGGGGGGGGGGTGGCGGGGGAGGATGGGGGCTTGGCAGGGAGAGAGGCTGGATCTGCAGGAATCTGTGACAACAAATGACATTGAGGCAAAGTGTGGCATGGACCTGGCCTCATGCCCCAGGGGCCGAGGGGTCTGGCACTGGCCACAGTGCGCTCCATGGCCTGTGTGCTCATGGAGCAGCCTTTTGTTTCTTGCTTTAATCTTTAATCTGCGAGCTTTGAACTTTGGTGAGCGAAAGAATCCCTTCTGAAGGCCAGGGATCTGCCCTCCACAGTGGGTCCCTTAACATCCGTGGGTTGCGGCCAGTGCAAATCTCAACAACAACAGATTGAAAGTGTTTTGGGCGAAAAAAACCAACTGATGCAATAAAAAATTATTGAAAAACCAATACCGAGGCAACACCTGTCTCCGTAGCATTTACACTGTTAGAACTAGCCTAGTGATGACTTGAAGTCGAGATAGGAGGATGTGTATGCCTTCTGAGCAAATACTGCATCGTTTATGTAAGGGACTTGGCATCCGCTCATGGAGTTTGGTGTTTCTGGGGAGCCCCAGGACCATTACTCGTTGGGTGCTGAGGGATGAATGTACCCCATAGGGGCTGCCCCTCTGTCTTTAACTGTAAGCACCATAGAATGAAACCCTTGCCAGATGTCGCTTCTGTAACATCGCAGCAGTCATCATAATTAAGAGGCAGATCCATGGGTTCTTGGGGGATCCCATTGGTGACTGGTACCAGTTAGCCCCTCAGCAAACTGGCCTGAGGGCCTGGTTCTTGGGAGACCTCCTTGTCACCTGCCCTGTGCGACTCTGGGCATGTCGCTGACCTGACTCATGAGGTGGGCACAGTGGCACTGAGATGGTGGGGAAGCCTGGAGGGGGACTGGCTCTGGGAGGCAGCAGGTGCACAGAGCTCTGAGGACCCCAGGGGAGGAAGACCAGGCCCCCTGGCGAGTGGGGACAGCAGAGATTGTAGGGTGCTGGGTAGTCCTCTTCCCTGGAACACTGTCATGGAGCCCTCTGCTTTTTTTTTTTTTTTTGCCAGGCAGAGTTAGAGAGAGAGAGAGACAGAGAGAAAGGTCTTCATTCCATTGGTTCACTCCCCTAATGGCCACTATGGCCGGCGCTGCACCGATCTGAAGCCAGGAGCTGGGTACTTCCAGTCTCCCATGCTGGTGCAGGGACCCAAGCACTTGGGCCATCCTTTTCTGCCCTCCCCGGCCACAGCAGAGAGCTGGACTGGAAGAGGAGCAACCGGGACTAGTACCTAACACCCCAACCGAGACTAGAACTCAGGGTGCCGGCGCCGCAGGTGGAGGATTAGCCAAGTGAGCCATGGCGCCGACCAAGCCCTCTGTTCTTGGGCACTGCTTGAGCTTGTGGGACTAGCAGCCTGCTGGTCAACACACCCAGCTGCCTCCTGTGATCCATGGCACCTTGCCCATGGCTGTCTTGAGAGCAGGCCAACTTGCACCAGTCCAGCTGAACACATGTGCCGTGGCGGCTAGCACAGGGCAGGGGGGTACTTGTCTTTCCTGCCTTTTTACAGGGTTGGCAGTGGTTTGCCCGACAAATACAGGGCAGCTGTCTCTGCAGGCGCAGGGCTCCCAAGGCAGGGGCAGTGCTAGGAACGCAGAGCTGCTCGCTCTCTGAGGGGTGTTGAGTGCCAGGCCATCGCTGATGGGTGCAGCAGTCTGGTTTGTCCCTGGAGGATGCCCCAGGCCCTGACCTGGTCTGCATCTTTCTCTTTGCAGACTGAGGGCACCCGGCTGCAGAAAGATCTCCGGACCTACCTGGCCTCTGTCAAAGGTTAGGGGGTGGACATGGCGGGGTGTGGGAGGAGGCAGCCATCGCCCAGGGCGGGCATGGCAGGGCTGGCCTGAGGCCATGTACTCTTTGTGTGCCCCGCAGCCATGCATGAGGCCTCCAAGAAGCTGAACGAATGTCTGCAGGAGGTGTACGAGCCAGACTGGCCCGGCAGGGACGAGGCCAACAAGATCGCTGAGGTGAGCAGGAGGGGGAGACAGGTGGCCTCGGTCCTCCCCAGAGGTCTCCTCCAGTTCTGGGGCCCCCACCTGCTCCGTGTCCTTGGGCATGACCCCTCCCCTCTCTGGGGCCCCTCCTTCGGCAGCCCATCCTCCGTGGGATGGCTCACAGAGCTGCCTCAGCCCCAGGGAAACAGGCTGCAGATGGGGGCTGGGGGTGACAGCCGGGGCGGGTGTGGCTCACGCTCACGCTCTGGCCCACGCAGAACAACGACCTGTTGTGGATGGATTACCACCAGAAGCTGGTGGACCAGGCGCTGCTGACCATGGACACGTACCTGGGCCAGTTTCCTGACATCAAGGTGAGAGGCGGGTCCGGCCTGGTGGCCTTGGAGGGCAGTGGGGAGGAAGAGAAGGCCTGCCTGGGGCTGGCTCAGGTGCCCAGGGAACTGTGTGTGCCATGCAGGCAAGTGTCCCCCGGCCCAGTACTGCAGCGCGCCAGAGCTGCGGCCAGTCCCCGGCCCCTGCCTTCCTCAGGGCTCTGCGAGGGAGACCCCATGGTGTGCATGTGTATGTGTGTGTGTGTGTGTATGGCCATATCGCTGGGGAGTGATTGTGAGTGTGTGGTGTGTTAGTGTGTGTGTACCTGGAGGTCCCCCAGGTTTATGCTGTGGGTGTGCACCATGGGTAACAGCCATGTGTGTCCGTGTCTGTGTGTGTCTGTGCCGCTGTGGGTTCAGAAAGCCAGCTGCCTCTGCCGGGGCCCTGGTGCATGCTGGGAGCTGCCGGTGCACCAGGGTCCCCACTGAAGTCCAAGATGACTACCAGCGTGTGGGACCTGCTGTATTTGTTGGATGGGGGATCACCCCCAGGGCCACCCTGTGCCAATGCCCCGTGTTGCGTTCTCGAGGCTGATGGCACTGGCTTAGGAGGAGAAGCTAGAGCCATGGAGGCCTCTGTGGCTTGTTCCGGGCCTGGCCAGGGAGGAGGGTTGGCCTGACCCACCCTGGCTGGCCGGTCACACTGAGGGCCGTGCTGCTCTCAAGGAGGGGCTCAGACAGGGGGAAGTGTGGAGCCACGAGGGGATCTGGGTCCCAGCAAGGCACTGCTTCCGTGTGTCCCCCAGTCACGCATCGCCAAGCGGGGGCGGAAGCTGGTGGACTACGACAGTGCCCGGCACCACTACGAGTCCCTTCAGACGGCCAAGAAGAAGGACGAGGCCAAGATCGCCAAGGTGAGGGCTCGGGGCAGGGGCAGGGCTGGGAGTGGAGTCTGGGAGCAGAGGGCTGGGAGTTATGGGGGTGGGGGGGCGAGGGCTAGGCGTCAGGGACAGGGACAGGGCTGGAGTCCGGGGGTCAGGATCAGAGGTGAAGGCTGGAGGTCAAGGTCGGGGTTGGGGTGAGGGCTGGGGACCAAGGTGGGGTGAGGGCAGGGTCTGGGGGGCAAGGCCAGGGGCGAGGGCTGGGGGATAGGGTCAGGGTTAGGGGTGAGGGCTGGGGGTCCTGGAGGGGGGTTAAGGGCTAGGATTCAGGGCCGGGGGGCAAGGGTTGGGGGCCAAGGTCAGAGGCAGGGGCGGGGGGGGGGGCAAGGCCCGGGTCAAGGGCTAGGGTTGAGTCAGGGTCAGGGATGGGTGCGGGGTCCGCCTGCGGGAGCCGGGGCGGGGGAGGGCGGCATGCAAGCCCCCAGTGAGGGACGGTTCCCCCGCAGCTGACTGGTCCAGGGTCCCCAGGGCCCGTGGCGGAGCCCGCGAGGGTGAGGCCCTCGTGGGGCCCGGGGTTGGGAGGGGTCACTTCTTGCTCCGAAGAGGACGCCGCGTTCCCGAACGCCGGGCTGCGGTTTCCCTGGGACCGCGCGCCCCTCTCTCCGGGGTCCGACGCGGCCCCGCAGCCGCCGCCGCCCCGCCTACGCTCTCGCGTTCCGCCCCTCCGCGCCTCCGCGTCTCGCCGCGTCGTCTAACGTGCCTGTCTCTGTCTCTCTCCCCTCCCTCCGCCTCTCCCCTCCCCGCGTCCCGCCCCCGCCCCCGCCCAGCCTGTCTCGCTGCTTGAGAAGGCCGCCCCCCAGTGGTGCCAAGGCAAACTGCAGGCTCACCTCGTAGCCCAAACTAACCTGCTCCGAAATCAGGTGACACTGGCTTCTAACCTCGCACGTGCTGGCGCCTGGTGGTCCGTCTGTCTGTCCGTTCGTTCTCCCCGGTGCCGGGAATGCCTCGAGCTCTTTGTGATCCCTGAGGGCTGCTGTGGGCAAGGTGGTGACAGCGTTAGGATCCCCCGCCATGTCCCTCCGGCCACACATGAAGGAGCTCCAGGGGGGTGCTGGGTTTTCCCAGGAGCTGTCCAGTGACAGAGTTGGGGTTCTCTTGACTGCAGTCCCTGGTGGTTGTCCTGGGCGCCTGGCCTGGGGCTCCCTGGGTCCGGCGGGGGGTGGTGGTGACACCCCTCCCCCCAGCCACATGGTCATTCTGGAGGGGATGTGGGAGGGCTGTCTTGCCTGGCTGGGTGCTGGGACCCAGCAGGGAGAGACCTGTGAAGACTTAACACTTCTGGGAGCTCACAGCTGGGGGTGGGGTGGGGGGAGCAGGTGCTCTGCACTGCAGTGGCCCTGGGCAGATGTCTAGCGGGGGAGAGTTTTGTCTCAAACTCCCGGCATGGCCGGGGCGCCAGGTGGGCTTCGTGAGGCTTTCTCTCGAGGGGCCTGAAGACACAATGCAGGTCTGTGTAGACGCAACCTTGACAAAACTCCCCATCCCTCCGAAGTCAGGGGCAGCGACACAGGCCTGGCCCAGGGGGGTGGTTTCTCCAGCCCGCGGGTGCTGAGAGCCCTTGGCATGGCCAAGTCCCCATTTCTTACCTGCTCTGGTGCCTGATTTCCTTAAGGCCCAGGCTAGGGGCTAGCTTTGGAGCCCCCCCACCCCCCACCCAGGGACAATGGCCATCCTCCTGAGGTTGGGGTGACCCTGGCGCTCCAAGGAGGCGGCCTGGGGTGGGGTCTTTAGGAAGCAGGAGTCTCCATCCATTGAGTATAGGCCCTGGGTTGCAGGTGGAATGGGGCCCCTGAGCCAGAGCTGGACTTTCTGCTTAATTTTTCTCTGAAACAGTTTTTGCTGAGTGAGGAGCTCCCCTCACTCCCCAGACTGGGAGATCTGGGGTGGGTGTGGCTGGGAGGGAGGACCCAACTGGGATAGCCCCCACCCCCACCCTTGGGGCTGCCAAACTGGTCTTTCCACCTGGATCCCTGTTTTTTTAGGGGAGTATTAAGCCCCCCCCCCCACTTCCTCCCCAGCCCACCTGGGTCCTGGCCAGCAGCTTGGAGCACCTTTGGGGTTGATTATCCATGGGTGGCTTCCCTGCTGGTGGACATGGCTGTGGGGAGACGGTGCCTCATCCCAAGGCTGTGTGTGTGTGTGTGTGTGTGTGCGCGCGCGTGCGTGTGTCGGGGCGGGGCAGTTCCCCTTGTCCCCTGGTTAGTCCTGAGCTGCTGTCCGCATCTGCCACAGCCTCTTGGAACCCGCCCGCAGGAGCTGGCGCTGATTCTGGGGCTGCCCTCTCTGCTGTCTGCACTGTTGGTCTCGGGACAGTTGGGATGGCCGTGGGGGCTGGTGGCTGTGTCTCAGCCGGTTCAGGGCTGGCTCCCAGGGCACGTGAGACTTGGGGCTGGGTCTCGGCCATTCAGGACAGGAGGCACACAGGCCCAGGGGTGGTGGTGCTGGTGCCGTGACACACAGGAGTCACTCATTTCAGGATGCCCCGTGCCAGGCAGGGGTGGCTGGGCCGTGTGCTGGAGGCCTGGAGGGCTCCCGGATGTGACTGGGTTCTGGAGGGGCATGTGTGTTCAGTCCTTGCCCTGTGTCCTGTTTGATCTTTACAATTTTATTAAATTCTCCAAAGTTAGGGAAGCAGCCCGTGTGCACTGTGGTAGGTCCCTGGAGGTGACCATGGTCACCGCCACCCCCAGACCCCCCACGGGTAGGGACTTCCCCGGGCAGGTGCAGGGACAGCCTGGCAGCCCGGCCACTGTTCCATGGCCTTGCCTTTGTGCCTTTCATCCCTGACCCTGAGAGGGGCTGGGCTGTGGCCTCTGGCTTCCATCTGGTGGAGAGGTGAAGAGTGAGAGAGTGGGGGGTGGGGAGAGAGAGAAAGAGATTGTTGGGAAAGACAGTGCCGGGAGGTGAAGTGAGGCTGGAGGCCAAGGCTGAGCAGGCGCTCCCTGGGACAGGAAGCGGGGAGGGGGGGGCTCCTTTCAGAGCGGAGCAGCCAGAGCTGAGCAGCAGGCCTGGCAGGCAGCCTCTGGGGTGGGGGAGGGGGCCTTGCCGGTCTGGGGTCTGCCTCTGTGCCCTTCCTGTACCCCACTCCCCACACGCCTCCCTCCCAGCCAGATGTGGCCCTGGGGCCCTGGGTAGCAGCCCCAGGATGGTGGCTGCCCACTCCCAGGCCAGAGTGCGTGGCCTGGAGGCGGGGGTGGGGGCCAGCTGGGAGAGAGGCCCAGGGAAGGAAATGACCTGCCTCCCCTCTCCCAGGCCGAGGAGGAGCTCATCAAAGCACAGAAGGTGTTTGAAGAGATGAACGTGGATCTGCAGGAGGAGCTGCCGTCCCTGTGGAACAGGTGATGCCCGGAGGCGGCCCTGGGCCTGGCCGTGAGGCTGGCCATGGAGCCCACACCCTCTCAGGCCTGTGTCCCTGGTGGTCGCACCTGGGCACGTGGGTTTCCGAGTTGGTCACACAGGCTCTCCGTGGCGTCTGCTCAGCTCCTTCTCCTCTTCTCTCTCCTCCTCCTCTCCACCCCCGCCAACCCATAGCCGCGTGGGTTTCTACGTCAACACGTTTCAGAGCATCGCAGGCCTGGAGGAGAACTTCCACAAGGAGATGAGTAAGGTAGGCCCTGGGTCCGAGTCGGGCATGGACGGGCAGCCCCAGCTGCCCCTTCCCTGCTGGCCGTCAGCACCTGCTGGTGGACACCGTGTGCCTCTGGGTCCCACAGAGGAGCCCATTGTACCTGCCCTCAAGGAGCGCCTCCACAGAGTGCCCAGGCACAGTGGGAGTTTCGGGGTGCACAGGGGAGGCTGGGAGCAGGATCCCAGCTCCAGCACCACCCGCCCTCCTCCCTACTCCCAGCCCTGTTCTCCTTGCTGGAGATGATGGGTGGGGACAGCAGAGCAGCCCCTCTCAAACTAAGTGAGCTATACCACAGCCTTGGCACAGAGAGCTCAGGGCAGAAAATGGTAGCGTGTCCCAGTTTGTAGAATGATAATAAATACATTACTAGAATTTATCCAGTTTAAATTTTTCCTCCCATATTACTTTTTATTTTAAAAGAGATTTACTTATTTATTTGAAAGGCAGAGTGACAGGGAGAGGGAGAGATAGAGACAGAGATCTTCCATCTGCTGCTTCATTCCCTAGATAGCTCTAGTGGTCAGGGCAGGGCCAGGCTGGAGCCAGGAGCCGGGAGCTTCATCCAGGGCTCCCATGTGGGTAGCAGGGGCCTGAGGACTTGGGCCATCTGCTGCTGCTTTCCCAGGTGCATTAGCAGGGAGCTGGATTGGAAGTAGAGCAGCCGGGACTCAAACTGGTGCTTATATGGGATGCTGGCGCTGCAGACAGCGGTTTAACCTACTGCACCACAGCGCTGGCCCCTCTCCCATATCTCTTAAGATGTTGAAACAGGCCTGTTAACTGTCAGCGAGTGGTGTAAGAGTTCCGATTGGCTCAGGCTCCTGTGTTGTGCCACTTTCATTGTAACTTCATTCACTGTTAGCATGCAATGTTTAACTTTGTCATTTAAGAAAACCAACGGGGGCAGCTCCCTGATTGTCTCTCGGGCCCAAGTGATGATGGTGGATTTCTGGCTGGGGCTGCAGGAGGAAAAGTCAGCCAGCTTGGGGCCTTTCCTGTGTGGTTCCCTGCATTTCAGATCTTTGCTTTTCTTCACACTTTTCCTTCCAAAGATGTGAGCCAACCCAGGAAAAGTTGAAAGAACAGAGAAAGAGAAACATTAATGTGAAGTTAGTCCTGGGATATATAAGCCACAGGACATAGTCATTTGTAAATGGGAGGAAAACTCAGCTCTGAGCTTCCTGGTGGCCAAAGCAAAGAGGGGAAATAGTCTCAGTCATGGGACTCCGCTGTGTGCAGGGGATGAACACCCTGGTTGCCTGTGCTTTTGGTGAAACCTCTGACAGCCTCAGGGTGGCCGGAAGGCGTTTTGGCAAGATGACTCCACTGATTAGGCCTGAAGGTCTGCAAACACCATTTTTCCAAAGCACAGGCTCCCTGTGGCATTTTAGGACATCACTACAGATAGCAAGGAGAGAAAAGGTGGTTGCCAGTGGCAGGGACAGCTAGCAACACAGCCCGGTCCTGTTTTCTGGGGCTCTCGCTGCTGGTTTCCAGCGTTTGAAGGGCCTGGGATGCAGGCGAGGCAGAGGTGTTTTGGGGAGGGCACCTGGAACCGTTTGGAGGCCCCACCTGCTCTATGTGCCTCACCCCTTGCAGCTCAACCAGAACCTCAACGACGTGCTGGTCAGCCTGGAGAAACAGCAGGGCAGCAGCACCTTCGCGATCAAGGCCCAGCCCAGGTGCGTGCTGGGAGTGTGCACACTCCGGGGATGGGGGTGGGGCGACGTGGGTGGGGCCGCCCTGAGCCAACCCAGCTCAGGGGCCAGGCTGCTTCCTGTGCCCCGTGGGTGCTTTTCTTGGCCCCCTGTGGGTGTGACTGGGAGGGGGGTTCCAGGCCGTCCTGGCTCCGCCTCCCTGTGGTGACAGCAGGTGAAGGGGGCGGGGGTCTCTGTCCTGGGACCTCTCGGCCCTGCCAGTGGCGTCCCCTGGAGGAAGGAGTCTGCAGGTGCCCAAGCCTGGGGTCCCTGCCCTTGTGTGTGGAGCAGCCAGGGAGGAGGTGGAGCCGCATGCAGAACACAGGGGCAGGGTGCCAGTCGCTCCTGGGCGTGCCACCTCCTGGAGGGGAGCCCGAGTCCTCAGAGCACTGCCTTTTCCTGTCCCAGCCCTGGCTCTGCGGGGGCCCCCTGGCTGACCCGGAGATCCGTGTTTCTGGAGGGGAAATCCCGGGCTGGGGGGGAGTGCCTGGCTCCTGGGGCTGTGGACCAGGGGAAGCCACAGCTGCCTGGGGTTTCCCTTCCTTTGTGTGTGTGTGTGTGTGTGTGTGTGAGTACATGTGTGTTGAGTGCATGTGTGAGTGCATGTGTGAGTGTGCACACACAGGAGAGTCACTGCGGAGCACAGAGAGCACCGAGGGGCCTCGCTTTCCTTGTCTGTGAAATGGGCTGGTTGTATCTGCTTCTTGGGGTGTCGCTAAGACAGAGAAGGGGTTTCCTGAGTGCTGCTGCCTTCTGCCTCCCCTGGGAGAGGGCCTCCCTCCCAGGTGCCCTGAGGCTTGGCTGTGGGAGAGAAGGGTAAATGCGCAAAGGTGAGCCTGAGGTCGCTGTGGCAGGGACACTTGCCCGGCCTGGGCAGCACCTGGGCAGCTCTGGGCGGCTGAGGAAGGTACTGGGTGGGTACGCTGTCCTGGGCAGTGCGGACAGCTCCCGTTGGGCAGGGGCTCTGAGGGCAGTGGCCCTGGAGCCTCCTTTCTACCTCATCTGGGCTCCCATAGCCTGGGACCCCAGAGGTGGAGGTGCCCCGCCTCTGCCTCCCCTAGGGCCCATAGCAGGTGCTGAGGTGCCGAGGCCCGAAGAGTTGATCCCAAGGGCAAACCCAGGCCCGTTCATGGCCTTTGCCCCTAGCCTTCCTCTGAGCCCAGGGGTTGGTGATGAGGGAAGGGGACAGGGGACAGGCCAGCCCCACGTCTGGCATTTTCCCAAGATGAAGGCCTCCACGCCCCGTCCATCCCCACAGAAAGAAAACCAAACTGTTCTCCCGGCTGCGCAGGAAGAAGAACAGGTACTGGCAGCAAGAGCTGCGTCGGCGCCTCGGAGGCCGGCGCCCTGGCCGGCGGCCCCGTGCATGTGCCCGTGCCCTGTTCCCAGGGCTCCACTAACTCCTCCTAACCTGTCCTGTGTGCAGTGCTGCCAGTGTGGCTGCCCTGGGGAGGGCTCTGTGGGGCCAGGGCAGGGCTGCGTCCTGTGCGTGTTGGAAGCTGGCATTGAGGGCTGGGGTGGGGGCTACTGTTGGGGGAAGGAATCCTCGCAGGGTGGGGCAGGCAGGTGGTGCACCTGCAGGTGTGGAAGGTAGCCAGGCAGGAAGCTCTGGGGCGGATACGACAGCACCGTGGGTTTTTTATTTCTTAACATTTTTATTTAATTGTATTTGAAAGGCAGATATACACACAAGACAGAGATGGAGATAAATCTTCCATCTGTTTCTTCCCACCCCAAATGCCTGCAACAGCCAGGCCTGGGCCAGGCCAAAAAACTAGGATACAAGGTGAGAGGGACCCAAGTACTTGGGCCGTCACCTGCTGCCTCCCAGGGTGCACAGTAGCAGGATCCTGGAATCAGGAGGGGAGCCAAGACTTGAACTCATGCCCTCTGATATAGGGTACTGACATTCCAAGCTGTGTTTCAGCTGTTACGCCTGTTTTAGTATTTTAAATTATGCCTGTATAATATACATTTATGATTCTCTGAAGGTACTTCAGAAAGGTCGTGGGAAACTGGAATTAAAAGTATGCATCTATTTTGGTTAAAAAATTGAAATCTATGCAGCATTTTTCATAACACGCATTTTCTACAGATTATGCCAACGTTTTTTTAGCATCCTAAAAAATTTTGCACCAAAATGAACTCAGTTTCAATTCCACTTTTTCCAGTTTGAACTACCCTAGTAGGACTTTTTTTTTTTTTTAAGATTTATTTTATTTATTTGAAAGAGTTACAGAGAAAGGTAGCTCCAGAGAGAGAGGTCTTCCATTCTGCTGGTTCACTCCCCAAATGACCACAAGGGCTAGAGCTGAGCCAGTCTGAAGCCAAGAGCTTCTTTCAGGTCTCCCACATGGGTGCATGGGCCCAAGGACTTCGGCCATCTTCTACTGCTTTCCCAGGCCATAGCAGAGAGCTGGATTGGAAGAGGAACAGCTGGGACTTGAACTGGCGCCCATATGGGAAGCCAGCGCTGTAGGCTGGGGCTTTAACTTGCTGCCCCACAGCGCTGGCCCCGTTAGTAAGTCTTTAAGGATACAAGTAGGTTCCCATGAGCAGAAATTCAAAACAGAGAAGAGGAGATGAGCAGTACCTTGCCCATCGTCCCCAGACCCCTGGCCCTACCAGGCGGCTTGGGCAGTAACTCTCATTGTGTCTTTCTAGGCCTTCCCCAGCCAAACACGGTGGCCAGGCATCTCAGGTGGCTCCCACACACTTGAAATGTGGCCAGGGTGACCAAGGAGTGAAATGCTCAATTGTCATTAATTCAGTTGTAGTGGAATTCAAAGAAGCAGCTGTAGCTCATGGCTGCTGTACTGGCTGCTGCTGCATCTGCAGGTGCTGTCTACAAACATAGGCCTGTCACCCAGGCCCTACCTGGGCCTCCAGTGGCCTCTGATGGCTCACCATCATGCACACTGGGAGGCGTCTGGGCTGAGGGGCCATGGTGTGACTACGCTGTGGTCGGCGTCTGTGTAGGAGGGTGGGCACTGGCAGGGAGCGGGGGCCCTCCGGCAGAGGGGCTGCTGCGTGACGTGGGGAAGACTCACTTTGCCTCTAGGATGTCTGGCTTTCTCGTGCTGTGGATCTCAGGCCCACCAGCATGGTTGGGGGAGAGTGCAGTGGAGTGCGTGGGGCTGCAGGGCTGGCCTCCAGTTGCAGGGGTTCCCAGGCCCTGCCCCACCCCTGGGGACCACATGCACCTGCAGTCTGGGGTCCTGCCTCCTGCCGGGAACTCAGGCAGGCACACGTGCAGGTTTCTTCATTCCCACTCGTTCTCACACACAGGCACACATGGATCCACAGGGCACACACATGCACATGCAATGTCACATGTGCGACCATGACATACACAATGCCACATGGGATACACACATGCACATGATTTGCATCCACAGAGCACACATGTATACATGTGTACATGCAGTGCAATGTGTCATCACAGGGCACACATGTACACATTTGCACAGAATGCCACACGTGCACCTATGACACACAATGTCACATGTGCAACTTTGGGATACACACAATATTACATGTGTGATGGGATAAACAGACATACAACATCATATGTGCAACCATGGAATGTGTACATGCACATATCACATGCACGCACAATGTCATGTGTTGGACCACTAGGCACACATGTGCACATGTGCAACATGTCACATGTGTGATCATGGGACACAGGCACACACAATGTCACATATGCATGCACAGAGCAAACATGCACACGTGCATACACACAATGCCATGTGTGCCACTGTAGGGCACACACATGCACATGTTTGTACTGAATGTTGCATGTGCACCCATGATACACACGTGCACACACAATGCCACATGTGTGACCATGGGACACACACATGCACACATCACATGTGCATCCACAGGGCACACACATGCACCTTTGCACAGAATGTCATGTGTGCGCCCACAGGGCACACGTGCATCCCCCTCCTCACAGCTCACCCCTGTGCGAATGGAGGCCGGCCTGCATTAGGCTCTTTTCTTGTCCTGCCCAACAGCGACAACGCCCCTGCCAAAGGGAACAAGAGCCCTTCGCCTCCGCCAGATGGCTCCCCTGCAGCCACTCCTGAGATCAGAGTCAACCACGAGCCAGAGCCGGCCAGCGGGGCTGCCCCTGGGGCCACCATCCCCAAGTCCCCGTCTCAGGTAGGTGCACCCTCCTCCTCCTCCTCCTCCTCCCTGCTGTTATCTCCTCCCTCTCTCTCCTGTTTCCTTCCTGGCCTGAGCAGGTTTGGAGCCAGAGGCTTTGTCCAGAGGGCCTGGGCCCCTTCAGCGGTCGTCTGTGACTGTCTGTCTTCCCTAAGTGTCCCCCTCTCCTTGCTCTGCAGGACCTTCCCCTCCCCCTCCATGGCTGGACTCTGTCTTCCTAGCCCCCCAGTGTCTCCGGAGGCAGCTGCCTGCCTTCCCCTCCCCTTCCCTCGCCTGGTCTCTCTTGCAGGAGGCCAAGGGAGGAGCCCCACCTGGGGCCGTGGAGGACCTTTGAAGGGACAGAGAGGAGAGGGTCAGTGTTGGGGGCCAGGAGGCCAGACTTAGGGCTTCTGGACCGTCCATCCTGTTGAGGGCGGGCAGGATGGTCCATCCATCCTGACTTACTCAGTTGTGGGTAGGGGTGTGGCCTAGGCGTGACCACGCCCACCAGGTCCTCCTGGTTCCTGTAGAGCATCAGGGAGGTATGTGGGCGCCCAGTGATCTCGCTGTGCGGGTTTTAGGCCGCTGCCCCGCTGGGCCCCAAGCTTATTAGGATACAGATGATGCTGAGAGCCCGCACCCTCTGTGTGCCACCCACTGCCTCCTACCTGTGCCCTCCTCCCGTCTTCCCCCTTTTCTTACTCTCTGCACAGCTCTTCTGGACCTCCTGGGGGCGCCCGTGGCCTTGGTGTCTTCCTGTTGCTCCGCTGTGGGAGTGTGGTGGGGGGCGGTGGGGGCTTGGCCTGGGGCATGACTAACCGTGGCTCTGTCTCTATCTCCTCCCCCCACCCCACCCCAACTTGCGCGGCCCCCCTCACCCGCTGCCGGCCCACAGCTCCGGAAAGGCCCACCCGTCCCTCCGCCTCCCAAACACACCCCGTCCAAGGAGATCAAGCAGGAGCAGATCCTCAGCCTGTTTGAGGACACGTTTGTCCCCGAGATCAGCGTGACCACCCCTTCCCAGGTCAGCCGCGGCCGCCGCGGCCCAGTCCTCACTCTCCTGCTCTCTCAGAGCGTGCATGGCCTCCACCCTCCATCCCCGTGCCTGTGCATCCATCTCCAGGGCCAGGGGTCTGGTCCCCGTCATCCCTCCATCACCCATTGTCCATCTCAGGGCGTGGCCTGTGGCCAGGTGCAGGGGCTCAGGTGAAAGGTGCTTGCCCGCCTCGTAGCAGTGGTCAGCTCAGCCGTGGCCTGGTGGCACAGCTGATGCAGTGGTAGAAGGGAGCTGAGGGCATGGAGGACTTGGTGCAGTCAGGGAAGGCTTCCTGGAGAGGGCGGCCTTTTTCTGGTGGCCATGAGCAGAGGCGGCCCTCTGGACAAGAGAGGAGCTGGTGCATAGGCCAGGAGAGGGTGAGAGAACTCAGTTGGTGGGAGAGTGACACTGGAGGGAGGCAGTACAGGAGCCCTGAGTGGCTACTGCCCCTAGAGGCGTGGAATGTCCGTCCAGAAACAGGAGGAAGGCCGAACAGGGAGCCATCACCTGGGGGGTGTGGTGGTGGTGGTGGTGGTGGGGACATGCCTCCTTGGCACCGAGCAGGGTGATACGTCATCTCTGCAGGGCCACGTGGCTTCCTGGCACCCACAGGGCCCTGCTTTTTGTGGAGTGGCCAATCCAGACGGTGGTGGTCATGGCTGGAGCTCTGTGGCCTTGCCCTGCCTCCAGGCTCCTCTGCACAGACCCAGAGTCCAGGCAGGGAGGGAGGAGGGAGGAGGGAGGGGTAAGGCATCTGGGAACTGAGAACAGGGGTTTTTCTGTCTAAGGGAGGGTGGGCTTCAAGCCCCCATGGAAGGACTTTAGGTCAGAACCAAGGACCTTTTAGTCCAAGGCTGCTTGTGGGTAGGTGCTGGGCTGGTCGAGGTGGGACTCAGGCGAGCCCGTCTCTGCAGCAGGTGGCAGAGGGGAAGGCAGGGAGAGGAGGCTGGTGTCCCTCAGGGCAGCTCGTTGCTGTGGTCCCCTTGTGGGGCTGGGACAGGCTGGGCAGTGGTCAGCGAGTGGGCAGACGTGGAGATGGCTGGCATGAGCCCTAGAGATGCTGGATCCATCCACCTGCAGCCTGTCCAGGGAGCGAGTGCTAGGACGAGGCAGGGCAGGGCATGGCAGGGTGGGAGGTAGCCAGAGACCACCTGCACCAGGGCTCTGAGCGCATCTGTCCCTCCATGTCATTGCATGCCTTCCTCGTATCCTTGTGCCCTCTCCAGAGACCAGGGGTCTGCTGGGTCTGATTTGCTGTGGGAGGACCAGCCACTGTGGGTGGTGCTGCATGGGGTGGGGGCTCCTCCTTATTCATGATGCTAGCACCTCCCGGGCTTCCTGCTGTGGTGTGGTGAGTAGCCCAGTGTCACCACCCCATGGGGCGGGGCAGGGGGAGGCGGCCAGCTTGTGATTATGTCCTGGGAGCTGGGAGGGGGGGTGTTGCTGTCTGTGCAGGGTGTAGGGGAGAGCTGCCGGCTGCTGGCTGGGCTGGTGGGAGGCCTGGAGGCTGGGGGGTGGGAGCAGCTGCCTCCTGACCCTGGGCTGCCCCTGAAGGAAAATTGGTCCCCGGGCAGGCCCAGGGCTGGGGCTTGGTGAGTTCATTTGGCCTGGGCTCTGTGCCTCTGACCCCAGCCTGGCCTGCAGCTCTGTCCCCTGAGCTGTGGGACAGCCAGCCCTAGGCATTCCTTGGAATGTAGAGGCCCCGCTGGGGAACCGCTTCCCCCACTCCCAGGTCTCATACTGCTTGATGGAGACTGGGATGGTGGCAGGCCTGCAGGGTGCCCCCAGTTGGATGCCTCTTAAGAGAGTGGGGAGTGGGGGAGCCAGCTGGGCACCCTGACAGCCCTGCACATGGGCCTGGATCCTGGATGGAGGGAGGATGCTGAACCACATGGCTCCACTACTGGGTCTGGGGAGAGTCCTCTGTGGCCTGCAAGGGAAGCCGCATGTGGAGATGGGGGCCACCACCAAGCAGACCCCTCCTTGTAGGCAGCCTCGTCCTCTGGCTGCTGTGGCTGCTCTGGCCTCTGGAGATCCTCAGAGTCATGACTCCTGCCTCATCTGGGGCTTTCCCCTTGGGTGGCTCCAGGAAAGACCCCACCACCTGCGACAGTCTGGCCCAGCATACAGTGGGGCTTCTCATGGTGGGGCAGGTCACTCATCCCAGTCTCCTGGGGGCAGCTCCTGCTCCATGCATATTCCTGGGCTCCAGTGCCTGCTCCATGCCCATTCCTGGGCTGCACCCAGGCTCACTGAGGGAGTCTCTGGGAGTGACTGCAGGGCAAAGCCTGGTTTTGACACAGGGCCCCTTGGTGCCAGGACCCCCACTTTGGAGGCTGACTTCCGAGGCTACATGGGCAGGTGCAGCCCTTTCTGGGGGTGGGGGCAGAGGAGATCTGTGTAAAGCCTTTGAACTTGAGACCTCTTCGTCAGGGAGTCCTGGGATGGTCATGGGGGCCCAGGAAGGGGTGAGGTCTCCTGACCTCATGGGGGTCAGAAGCAAAGCAGAGATGCAGGCCCAGGAGGCTGCCCCAGGCTGCAGAGGATGCAAGAGAGAGCTGGGGCTTTGCACTGGCCCCTGGGGAGGATGCTCTACAGTAGGGCTGTGGCTGGGTGAGCTGGGCACTGGGCATTACCCTCCTGTGGGTGGGATCTTGAACCAGGGCATGTGGCCGTGGGCAGTGGTCCTGAGTGTGCGTGAGGTGGACGTGTGCAGGGATGCGTCCTGTGTGCCGTGTCTGTGTGCCATAACTCACTAACCGCCTTCCTCCCCTGCCTCTGCCCGCTGCCAAGTTTGAGGCCCCAGGGCGATTCTCGGAGCAGGCCAGTTTGCTGGACCTGGACTTCGACCCCCTCCCGCCCGTGGCGAGCCCTGTGAAGGCACCCACGCCCTCCGGTCAGGTTGGTTGTGCCTGGGCGTGGGCGGGGCCCTGGGCTCTGGGCTCCATGTCCCACCCGCCTTTGGTGTCCAGGCCCCCGGCTTGCTGAGTCAGCACCTCTGGGTCAGCTGAGCTGGCCGGCCCCACACTTCTGGCAACTTCCAGTTCATCTCAGAGTCTCCTGGCAGCACCCCGCTGGTCTGCGGTCTGGAAGCCCCTGAGAGGGGGCCAATCCTGGGCTGCAGGGCCCACGGGATAGGTGTGGGTGGGCTCCCTCCCTCCGGGGGGAGGGGGGAAGAGCGCTGGCGCACCTCTGTCTCTAACTCGCGTGCTAACTCTGTGCTTCTATCCTCACTGCTGCGCTCAGCCCATCCCGTGGGACCTCTGGGAGGTAAGCCACGTGTGCGCCCGGGGCCCCGCCCTCGGGGAGCCGCCCTTCTGTGCATGCCCGGACTCTACTGCAAGTGCAGGCGCATTGCGCTCGCTCGCACACACCCCGCAGGGCTGCCAGCCTCTGGTGGTGTGCTGCTTTTACCGCTGAGGCAGGCCCGAGGGGCAGGACGCGTGTGGAGACTTCCATGAGGGTCGTGGTGATGCTGCCTCGTGTCCTGGTGGGCAGAGGGCCAGGGGGTGCAGGCTTCTTTGCCTTGCAGGAGCTTCAGGTGGTGGGGTTGCACAGGGAGGGGCCAGGAAGCTGGGGAGAGGAGGGTGGGAGGCAGGGATGCGGCGGGGGAGGCAGGGTGAAGCCAGTGCCTTTAAAAAAAATCTTATTTTATTTGAAAAGCAGCAGGAGGGAGAAATAGAAACACACACACACACACACACACACACTGCCCATGAACTGGTTCACTGTCTAAATGGACACGGTGACTGGGGCCGTGCCAGACTGAAGCTGGGAGCCTGAAACTCCATCTGGGTCTCCCACATGGATGGCAGGGACCCAAGCACCTGAGCCATCCCTGCTGCCTCTCAGGGTGTGCGTTAGCAGGAAGCTGGAGCAGAGCTGCGATTCAAAGGCAGAGACTATGATGTGAGATGCGGGCATCCCAAGCCGTTGTCTTAACCCCTGCACCAGGACACAGGGCCTGTTGACAGGAAGGCTATCTCACTCAGGACAGGTGTCACCCCTTCCCGATAGCTCAGGGTGCCCAGGCTTAGGATGTGCCCACAATGCGTGGCCGTGGAGCCAGAATTGCAGTCTTGTCTCCTGGGCTTGATCCGAGACCTCGTGACCCAGGCTGGGGTGCTGAGGTGCAGGCTGAGGCCGGCAGGTGAGGTATGCAGATGCCCTGGTGGCGGTGGTGGCGGGGGTGTCGCACACTGCAGCCCAGGCCCCAGGTCCTCAGGAGGCCACAGAGAGCAAGCATGCTACAGGCTGCAGGCTGTTCTCATGAGGGCCGCGGCGGCTGCTCCACCATGGGGGCCAGTGCATCTGCCGTCCCTTTGGTGGTGGCCCGAATGAGGAGGTGGGAGAGGGGAGGCCAGGAGGCCCCACCTCGGCTGCACACTGCCTCCGTCTCCACCAACACTGGCTGCTCATGACTGTCTTTTCTCATCCCGTGCCCCTCCCCTCACCTCCACCTGGCCTTTGCTCCCCTCCCCGCCCCCACGCCCCGTTCTCTCCTGGTGGCCTGTCACTAGCCCACAGAGAGTCCAGCAGGCAGCCTGCCTTCCAGGGAGCCCAGCGCTGCTGAGGGCACCTTTGCTGTGGCCTGGCCCAGCCAGACGGCTGAGCCGGGGCCTGCCCAAGTAAGTGCCCACCTGCCTTCTCCCCCCCTCCCCCGACCTGGGTGTGCAGTGGAGGAGGAGGCCAGAGTAGGGGTGCAGGACGGACCAGGCCATCGAGGCCCCAGGATGGGCAGGGGTGGGTGAGCCTGGCTGGGGTCCCACCTGCCTCTCCTGCTCCCCCAACCCACACCAGGGAGGAGGAGCCTTCTGAGCACCCACTGGTTTATAGCAAACACTTTGCAGAATTTTCTTTTACTCTTCACCACAACCTTGTCAGCCACACACGTCCTGCTTCTGCAGATGAAGAGATAGGAGCTAGGGAGGTTGAGTCACTGGGGCCTCGTGCCCGGAAGTGGCCGAGTCTCAGGTCAGCCTGAGACTGTTTTCAGGCTTGGACAAGCTCACGCTGCAGGCTCCGCCCAGCTGGGAGGAGCTGTGATGGACACGGGTGGGCGGGCAGGGCCCACCCAGGCTCGGCCAGGTCTGGGGACTCAGAGGCAAGGCCTGTGGGTGGCGCCCCAGGGCTGGGTCCCACGCTTCTGCAGGACACATCACTCACGTACCCGTGCCTGCCAGAGCCTTCTCTTCAGCTGCTCCCCGGATCGTGCAAGGGTGTGGCCGGCTCTAGGCCTCCACCGCCACGGCTGCCCCGTGGCTGGTTCCCTGTGTCCTGGTCGCAGCATCTGTCCTGTGTCTCACCCCATGCCGACATTTATGTTGCAGCCAGCAGAGGCCTCAGAGGTGGCGGGTGGGACCCAGCCTGCAGCCGGAGCCCAGGAGCCTGGGGAGACGGCGGCAAGCGAAGCAGCCTCTGTAAGACGGCAGGGACCAGAGCCCTGTCTTTCCCTCCCTGCTGTCTGTCCGCCTGCCCATCCATCTGTCCGTCTGCCTGCCCGCAGCTCCTCTGTGCTCCTTTGCCCTTTTGCTGGTCCAGGACACGGTTCCTGCCGAGGATCCAGGGGACAGGCGGGCCTGGCACCGGGCACAGACACCTCCCTTTCCCTCCCCATGGCCCCTGCCCTCCCCGGACCTGATCCCTGCCCGGCTGACCCGTGCTCTTCTCCCCAGAGCTCCCTTCCCGCTGTGGTGGTGGAGACCTTCTCAGCAACTGTGAACGGCGCCGTGGAGGGCGGCAGCGGGGCTGGGCGCCCAGACCTACCCCCTGGCTTCATGTTCAAGGTGAGCGGACCACCCCCCGGGAGAGGGTGCATTCCTATCAGCAAGGTGGCCATGAAGCCTTGGTCCATCTGCCACGGCAGAGCTGGAGGGGACACCCCAGGGCCTGACAGGTGCTCCCCAACCTGTGCAGGTGCAGGCACAGCACGACTACACAGCCACCGACACGGATGAGCTGCAGCTCAAGGCCGGCGACGTGGTGCTGGTGATCCCCTTCCAGAACCCCGAGGAGCAGGTGAGCTTCTTTCTGGGGCTGGCTGTGGCAGGGATGGGCCAGCAGGGGGCAGCAGAGACCCACCGTGCACCGCAGGGAATCCCCAGCTGCTACCTCCTCGCCTCCATGCCTGCCCCTTCCATCCTGGTTTTCTCCTCCCCGGTGGCCCGCCATTCTCTCTCCTCTCTTGCTGCTGGGGAGTCCTTTTGGTGAACACGCCCCAAGGGGTTCATTTTCTGGGGCGGGTCTTACCAGGTCTGGGAGGAAGGCAGCCCGTTGGGGCGGGGCAGGGAGGGAGAGGCGTGGTGGTGACTATAGGCTGGGAGTTGAGAGCCGTAGGGCTAGGGAGGTTCGAGTCGTGAGGGTTTCCTGGGCCTGAATTCTGCGGGTTTTCCAAGGCCTCCCAGTGTTGCCAGCCCCGTCAGTGGGTCCGGCCCGTCTGTGTGGGATTTGAAGTGGCTGAATCCTGGCCTGTGGCCCACAGTGGGGATCACCCTGGGGAGGCTGCCCAGGGCTCAGATAGGGCATCAAAAGGGTCTATCAAAAGACAGATCATGACACAGAGGGAAGTAATAAACACCCAGGAGGCTCCCAGGCAGAGCCTTCCCCCTCCAGGCAGGGAGCACCCAGCCCCAGGCAGGGGTGTGTGGCCTTGCAGCCCCAGTAGGTTTGCACCTGGGGTCAGTGTTGAAGCAAAGGACCAATTGGAGATGGAGGGCTTCGTGGGGTGGCCTTGGATCCTTCTAGTAGCTTTTTCACTGGTAAGTGTCCCTGGCATTGTTTGTAGTGGTCAGGAAGCCTGGAAGGGCAGCTGATGGCCTCCTTGGGACATGACCACTGCAAGGCTCTCCCCGCCCTTCGCCCCCCACACCCCTCGCCCCGGTGGTGGGAAGTCCCTGGGCCTGGGATGGGGGAGCTGTTCTGACCAGTGCAGAGGCAGGCGCAGAGAGCAGGCTGGCCCCTGCGAGGTGGCTGTGGGTGTCGGTGAGTATCCGGGAATGCCCCCTGGAGGAGGTGTCCCACGCCTGCACCTGCTCTGCTTGGCCTGCAGGATGAAGGCTGGCTTATGGGCGTGAAGGAGAGCGACTGGAACCAGCACAAGGAGCTGGAGAAATGCCGGGGCGTGTTCCCCGAGAACTTCACTGAGCGGGTGCAGTGATGCGTGAGGCCACCTGACCAGCGCGCCCGGTCCTGGAAAGATGTGTGTTTCTTTTCTTTCTTTTTTTTTTTTCGTTGTTGTTTTCAAACTCTGGAAAAGCAAAGGGACGCTGCGAGGGAAGAACATGCCCAGGCCTAGAGGCGTTTCCCCCGCAGATGGGGAGGGCTCGCAGAGAGCCCCACCCGGCCAGCCCGGTGGCGTCGGCCAGAGTTCCCGAAGCTGCTGTGTCTCCCGCCCTAGTTGAGTACCCGGCGTCTGCGCCTGTGCCCGCATGTGTCCCCCAGCAGCTGCTGAGTGGGGCGCAGGCACCAGCCCGGCCTGTTTGAAAATAAACCCCAGTGTTCCAAACAGAAGGAAGCGAACAAACAAACAAAGCTGACAAACCATTGGGGGCGCCCGTGTGTGTTTCTTTTGTCCGCCCGTCCCATGGAACTGGGGATCCCTGGGCCCCCTCTCCCTTGAGGTCTCCTACACTCCCTTAGCACGCGCCCTCTGCCTGGTGGGTGCTGGCGGGCCAGCTGCGTGGTGGCTTCTGCTGGGTTGGGGCCCAGAGGCTGACACCTGCTTGGCGTGATCCCTGGGTGTTGGCCCCCCTGGGTGCCACCCTAAGTGACCTTATCTAGTCCACATGGGAACTTGGGCGGCAGGCACCAGGACCCTGCTGCACAGGTGAGGAGACTGGGAGTCTGACCCAGGCCCCAGACCACAGGGAGTGCCCTGGTGTGGCAGGGCTGCTTGGGCTTGGGTCAGAGTCAGCTCAGCCCAGCTTCTCCCGGCTCCACTGTGTGCAGCCCTGGCCCTGGCTCGGGCAGGCCTGGACAGCCATGATGGGCGGCGTGGCCTGGGTCCTTCACAGGAGCTGCAGGGATGGTGCTTGTGGGCCCCGGGGACAGCCTGGACTCCCCCATGGAAGGAAGCTGTCTCCGTGTAAACCTGCCTTGGGAGTGACCAGCAGGGAAAGGTCAGCCCCTGGGTCCATCCCCTGGGTTTCGATTTTGATGGCAGGAGTGGGATTGCTGGGGCCCTGCCTTTGTCCTGGGGGTGACCGAGCTCGCTGGCTATGGCGTCTCCAGCTTCCACAATAGCAGCAGGGCACAGAGAGCTTGTTTCCATCACCTCTGCTCCCAAGACTTCACTTTGCCTTCCTGCACTCCCTCCACACCCGACAGCCTGGTGCCCTGCTGAGACCACGGAGCAGCTGCGGCTGCTGCAGGAGCTCTGTGCGTCTGCACCCCAGAGCCTGTGCCCTGGGCTGGCTGGGGCTGGGCCCACCGTGCCAACACCAGGAGGCGCCACTTTCCTTTCAGCATGAAAACAGAACAGGCAGTATCCAGGAGAGCTTCGCGTTAGATTCTATCTCAACAGGAGATGCAGAGGTATAAGAGCACTCCGGAAAGGTTGTCAAAAAAATGTAGGTATAAGTATGAGCTTATTTTGATGCAAAGAATTTGGGAATCCAAGCATAGTTTTTCATAATACTGTGAAATATATAGTATGAAAAAAAAATTGTTTTAAATCCCTAAATTTTTTTTGCACCAGATTAAACTAAGTTAATTTTGCTTTGCCACATTTTTAAAAAAGGTTTATTTATTTGAAAGCAGGGTGACAGAGGGAGAGAGAGACACAGAGAGAGGTTCCATCCTCTGGTTCACTCCTTAAATGTCTGCAATGGCCTGGGCTGGGCCTGACCAAAGCCAGGAGCCTAGAGCTCCATCTAGGCCTCCCATGTGGGTGGCAGGGGCCCAAGCACTTGGGCCATCTTTCTGCTGCCTTCCCAGGAGCCTTTTCAGGGAGCTGGATTGGAAGTGGAGCAGCTCGGACCCAAATGGGATGCGGCAGCACAGGTGGTGGCTTAACTCGCTGGGCCACAGTGCTGGCTTCTTTTCCACACCATTTTCAGAAGTACCCACAGGTAGCTTTGGGCCTAACCCCCTGACCTCACAGGGATTCTGACCCTGGCAGCTTTGGGAGGAGAGGGCCAGCTGTATGCCATAGCTTGGGGCCTCCGAGAGGGAGGGAGCAGGGCCAGGGAGCTCCAGACCCAGCTCCTAGAGGGACACCCTGTGGGAAGCCTTAGCTGGCCCGGGCAGTGTGGGAGCCCAGCCTCCTGCCAGGCAGAGGGGAGTCTGTGGCCAGCAGCCCAAACAGATTGAGGGGCCTGGAAGAGACTGGGCGGAGAGACCAGGGCAAAAGCAAGAGACTGGCAAACCCTGGCTTGATTTGGGCTGAGTGCGCCCAAAGAGGCCCAGTTCCCCAGGGCAAGGGTCCTAACAGTCATCAAAAGCAGGCCAGCCTTGTGGGTTCTGGGACTCACTCCAGGACTGCTGGCTCCCATAGACCCTGTGCCCTGGGGGCAGGAGGGCGGGGCAGGCCCAGGGGCTTGGGGAGGGGCCCACCACAGGCCACGCCCTTTCCCTGGCTCCCCACCAGCCTCAGGAGCCAGAGTGAGCTAGGTGAGACAGTGGAACAGCCTCCCTGGGTCACCTCTTGTGTTGGGGCCCGGGGGCCGCGACACCCAAGGGAGGGCCTGCCCTGAGTGGCGACATCCACGTGGGCCTCTTCTGGAACCCCATGAAAGTCTTCAGGAAATCTACTTATGTGTCACATCTCTGTGGTTTAATGGACTCCTGGGCTCGTTTTTTTTTTTTAAATCAAGGAACAGGACTTCAGGTCATGAGACAGGAGACACACAGCCCTTGCCAGCGCTGATGGTGCCTCCCGCCCTGAGCCCCAGCCCACAGTAGCTTGGACCCTGTCCACCTCGGTCTCGTGTTTCTCACGTGGCTGCAGGTGATGCCATGTTCATGTAGCATCCCTTGGTTCTGCTGGCCTGGAGACCCTCGCCCTGCCCCTGGGAGGGACTTTTAATTAGCCATGTCCCCGGCCTCACCCATCCCCCAACACCAGCCTCCACGCAGGGACATTGTGAGGGGTGAGCAGAAACTGGGCTCACTTGCCCAGCAACGTCAGCTGGGTTCCCCCAGGGCCAGGTGCACGTCAGGCTGCAGCTCAGACCCTCCGTGACAGCGGTGCCCCTGTCTGCTGGGCACCGGCTGCATCTTCTTGTTCGGTCCCTGTGGCCCCTGGCCTGCTGCCTGCATACTTCCCAGCTGCCCCCAGCAAACCTCCTTGTCATTGGCCTCTGACTTGGGTCAGTTCCTTGGTCCTGGACCAAATGCAGTGTGTGTGTGTGGGGGGGGGGTAGGTGTGATCTGCCAGTGGGCTCCACAGCAGGGCTTAGCTGCATGTGGGAGGGGTGGACATGTGGGCCAAAATCAGGTTATGGCTTCCAGGGACAGGAGGAGATGGGTTTTGGGAACTCAGACCAGAGAATGTCTACTCCTAGTGGCTTCCAGAAAGGGCTATGTGACCAAGGAGCATGACTGGACTGGACAGGAGTGATGTGTGGGTGAGTGACAGTGTGAGTGTGTGACAATGTGAGTGTGCTTGGAGTGAGTGTGACAGTGTGTGACAGTGTGAGTGTTAGTGTGTGTGAGTGCTGGGTGTGAGTGTGTGATAGTGTGACAGTGTGAGTGTGCATGAGTGCTGGGTGTGTGTGTAACAGTATGAGTGTGTGATAGTGTGAGTTGCTGAAGATGAGTGTGTGACCGTGTGTGTGACAGTGTGACCATGATATTTGGGAGGTCTCCGCATTGTTCACTCTTCCAGTCCATGGGGAAGTATGTGACCAGGGTATACCTGATCCTTCATGACGCAGGGGGAAAATTCACCTGACACCTCCTGCCTCCTTGCCCAGCACCTCCCCTGGCCACCCATGCACACAGGATGGACAGCAAGGGACTTGCCTCTCCTGGTCAGACTTGTGTGGCTGGACTGTGCCTGAGTCTGGGAAGATCCAGTATCCCAAACTTCCATTCACTCAGTCACTCATTCATATACTCATTCACTCACTGACTACTCATTCACTCAATCTTTCAGTTATTCAATCTTTCAGTTACTCATTCGCTCAGTGATGACTCATTCATTAACCCAATCACTCATTCAGTCAGTATTGAGTCACTCATTCACTTATTCATCCAATCATTCTGGCAGTTACTCATTAACTCAGTGATGACTCATTCATTAACCCAATCACTCATTCAGTCAGTATTGAGTCACTCATTCACTTATCCATCCAATCATTCAGGCAGTTACTCATTCACTCGGTGATGACTCATTCATTAACCTAATCACTCATTCACTCATTCACTCGCTCACCATTTCCCTGGGAGGCACTGAGAGTATAGACAAGAAGATGTCGTTCCTAAATCTGATGCACTCACCATTCGGAGCAGACCAGGACAGGTAAGGCCACAGCAGGTGCTGCTCAAGATGTGTCCAAGGTTCTAGGGACAAAAAGCAGGTGCTGTCACCCTGGCTTCACCTGGGAGGCTGTGTCCCCGCTGAGCCCCCAGAGCCAATAGGAACTCTGGTTTGGGTGCGATTTCAGCCCTTTCAGAGGTCGGGCTGAAACCTTGCTCTCAATGCAGTGGTGTTGAGAGGCAGTGGCTTTAAGAGCTCCACACCCAGGCAGAGGTCAACATCACTTGAGGGTGAGCTGGTTCTTATGGGAGTGGGAGCTCATTCTGCCGGCAGTGGATGCCACCCTGCTTCTTGTTCCCTCCCACTCCTTCACATGAGGTGGTGTGGCACCAGGTCCTCCCCAGAAGAAGCAGGTGCCATGCTCTGGGACGTCCCAGCCTGCAGAAATGAGCCGTGGTCCACCTCTAGTTTCAGTCAGCCAGGTTCCTGCATTTATTACAGTGACAGAAAGTGGACCAAGACACTGGAATTCCAAGGAGCCAGGGCAGGGAACATCGGCTCAGGCAGGAGGCAGCAAGTGGAAAAGGATTCCAGATGGGGCAAGAGTGGGTTGAGCCACTCTGGGGCCCACAGAGGTGAGGGTGCCTGGGAGAGCTCGCAGAGGAATAGGGGAAGGGCCTGGGGGCTGCCAGGGACAGCCACTATTACAGGGAGCAGAAAGAAGAGGTTTTAGGGCATGTGCTACAGAGGAGCTGCTAAATATTATACTTGAGGCCCAGAGAAAGGGGAAGGCAGCCAAGACCATGGCCTTGCCCTGCCTGCTCTGAGGTCCCTGGGCCAGCAGGGGCTGTCGGGAACACAGGCAGCAGCAACCCACCAGCACTGTCCCAGCCCTATCGCTGGTTGTGCAGGAGAGCAAATCACCAAGGAAGGGCCCCTCACTCTCCATATAATTAACAGTGCAGGTGGCAGCTCTGGGCCACAGGGTGAGCATCCAGGCTGCTGGAGTGGAGTGGGGATGGGGAACGAGTCACTTCTCTCCTCCCAGACAGCCATGGTCACCACTGCAGGAGCCTTGCTGAAGGCAAAGGTTTGAGTTCCCAGGGTGGGCAGAGACGTCAGA